TCCCAATGCATACCTTCAATGCACATATCCATTGCGGAGTTTGTAGAGATCCGATCTTTGCAATTGAGGGCAAGATCTCTCCAGCGCTCGATGTAAGTTATCACGGGCTCATCTTTCCACTGGCGAGTAGTTATTAACTCAAGCAAGCTCACCACCCTCCTTGTGCTGTAGAAACGGTTTAAGAACTCACGTTCCATATCTTGCCAGCTATCAATGGAACCAGGCTCCAGGTCAGTATACCAGTCAAAAGCGTTTGCTTTCAGGGAACGTACGAACTGTTTGACCAGATGATCTCCGCTTGTTCCCGCGTTATTGCAGGTTTCCACGAAATGGGCAACATGTTGCCTTGGGTTTCCCTTCCCATCAAACTGGATGAACTTCGGCGGCTGGTAACCAATGGGCATCTTTAGATCCTCGATCCTTTGAGAATATGGCTTAACATAGGAGTAAGTAGATTTGTTTCCTTCTATCTTTCCCTTTATGGTTCCCATAATGAAGTCTTTAAGTTGATCAATCGGGATCATGCCCCCGGAGGTTGAGATATCTTTGCCCGAATCCTCTTGATGAGGATCATTCTCTTCATTTACTTCAGGGTCTTTCTCATGATTATGACTTGACTCGCCTTTCAAACTCTCTACTTTGTTGTTTAGCTCATTCAACTTTTGGTCTTGATTCTGCATGAACGTACTCATCCCTTCGATGACCCTAGTTAGATGAGCGATTTGTTCTTCCATCGTCATGGCGCTCGTGGTCATAGTGGGCATCACAGTGTAGACATTCGACCACTGCGGAGTAGTTCTTCGTAGAGGACTTGAAGGGGGAGTAAAGTCTGATCCAGATGATGAGCTCTCACCACCGCTTGTCCACTTTGGGGAAGTAACTTCACGTATGGGTGAAGAAAACTTTCGGGCCATCTCTTGCGCAATTCGAGATCCATCCATTGCATCGGGAGTAGTTCCCGAAGATGACTGCGCAGCCAGGATTCTTGATCGGCTCCTAGTGATAGGGCCTTGCATGTTTTGATTTGAGCTTGACGATGCTCGAGAATTCAAAGTGAACACGGGCTTGCTTGACGCCATTGTTTCGTTTTCTTTGATCAAAAGTGAAGAGATGAGAGGTAGAGATGTCCCACCGGGCGTGCCAAAAATTTGTGAAACAAATTTTAAGTATTTACTTAAAATTGATCGCAAATAATAATATATGAAAATATTGGGTACAATCTCTAAATATGAATCCTCTGATTCTTCACTTGCAATTTGATATGAATATAATTAAAGAATTTAATTTAAAATTAAATCTCTAATTCTTCAAAACTCGAACGTTCTTCGATTCTTCGAATCTTCGTTCTTGAGATCTTTGAATCTTCTTGAATGCAAAATTCAATATTGAAGGGCCTCCGGTTTCAAGTAGCTTGATCTTCAACAAAAGGGCCGTTATGTGGCTTGATCTTCTGTTAAAGGGCTTCCCGGGATATATGGCTTGATCTTCAATTGAATATTGATTCAATCTTTATATGAATATCTTCAAATCTTCAAAGATTCGTTCTTCATATCTTCGAATCTTCAAAGCTTCGTTCTTCAGATCTTCGAATCTTCAAGCTTCGTTCTTCAGATCTTCGAACGTTCTTCAACTTTTGGCTTTGTTTGATCAAAAATCGATGAAATCACAAAGGATTATCCATATATTCTTGACAAAAACGTGGCTTGATCTCTTCCTCTTCTTCGGAATCCTTCAGAGCCTTTCGGGAGTTCTTCAGAGCTTTGCTGCAGCGTTTCTTCGTCTGGAAGTTCTCCTCCCCTTCTCTCAACTGAGACCCCTATTTATAGGTGTGGATGGGGTGAAAATAGGGCTTAGGGTTGCTGAAATTCGTCCATATTATATGGGCCTCAATTAAAATGGGTTTTGGGCTCTATTTGTTTGCATTTAATAGCTAGAAAAATCAGCACTTATATAATGTATCTGGACAGCCTTTTTAACAAGGTTCGCAGCCATTTTCCATGCACACAGACGGATTTCTTAACCAGATTCGTTTTCCTCTTTATCAATTGGATCATGTCTCTTATGTATCGGGCCACTATTTAATAATGGGCTCAAAATCAAGAAATTAATAGGACCCGTCCATTCTTTTAAAGATTTAATTTATAATTAAATTAATTGGATATTTCGAATGATCCAAATTAATTAAATTAATAAATTTTATCCCAAGAAATCCATATCACTATTTTCTTCTTGATGAGGCCCACCAACCATCACGAGCAGCCTAGTAGAACTTGACGTCGGCCCGGGTAGCGCTTAAAAGAGGCCCAATAAACTTGATCATTGGCCCAATAGCACTTGAAAGAGCCCCAAAATGATCGAGAATAATCTAGTAGCGTGTAAAAAGGCTTAATAATATTATGGACTATTATAAATTAATAAGTCCAAAATATTAATTAATCTTCAACATCTACAGGTGCAAACAGATATACTATCGTGGATGATTTATCAATGAACATCATTCCAAACCATATCAATTTAGAAGAAATTGAACTTAAACATATCTGATACGGAGTATAACTTAACAAATATGATCGGTTTAAACCAGGTTAGTTCAAATGAGACTCGACAGAGGTAGACAATCATTGAAACATATCACAGAAAACAATCATCAAACTTAAATTTTAATGCAAGAGATCCGAATATGTTTGATACATCATAATATCATGCATTGTATGGCATTGCTTCATTGTTCATTTGCTTGCATGCGAAAATTGGAGAATCCCACTTATTAGTGTCATTTGTGCAATCTGACCCCAATTTCGTTTGGCAAATATCTAGGATCTGACCCTGTTAAAACTGAATATAGTTTTCCAATTTCCACAATATATTACTTCCTCCGTCCCAAAATTAACTTCTCACTTTCCTTTTCGGGCAGTCCCGAAATTAACTTCATACTTCAAAACTTTCCTTATTTGGCAAATAATCTACATCAAAAAAGTGCCAAACAGTGTCCAAACAGTGTTTAAACAGTGCAAAACAGTGCACTCCACAATAAAGTCAGTTTTATTTTCTTAATCTGTGTGAAGTCAAACTGTGAACTTAATTACGGGACGGATGGAGTATGAAATCTACCTGTGTATTGTATTTTAAGCTTTAAGGATTTCACTAGTTTTAAACTTTTCTTTGAAATACGTCTATGAACATTTCAACCCCTAATATATCACCCAAAAGTATTACAATATCACTAAAAAGTATTACATTAGAGAAAATGTAACACTTTTTTACCATTACATTTGGTCATGTTGCATTAGACCTATTGTAACACTTTATAGTCCCTAATGTAACATTTATACTTCTAGAAAGTGTTACACTAGGTTTAAAAAGTGTTACATTAGAGAAATATGTGACACCTTTATAGATATGTTACATCTTTAATGTTACGTTAGGTCTAAAAATGTAATAGTGTTCGTATCGTATATGTTTAGACAAAACATATTACCCATAGACCATAGTCCATACTATTTCTCCATTTAAGGGGTTTGACAACAATATTACTCGCACTAAAAAGTGAGTAATGTGCAAAAAAGATATTTTAATTTAAAAAGTGTGACTAATAAACATTACATTTACTAAATTTTGCTTAGTGACCCGATTTGCCACAGTGGGTAATGAACAAAATAGAGAAATAATATAAAACCTCCGAATTTTAAAATGTAACTAAAGAGAAATATATTCCAAATGGGCGCAAAGGAAAATAATGAAACAAATGATAATTTTGTCAGATGAAAAGCGGCTGATTCAATGGTCATAAATTCTTAATGGGAACCAAAATTTTGAAAATAGAAAGCAGACGTTATTACTCCATATTACGAGTATTATTTTTATATATTACGAGGATAATATTTCTTAAAATGGATAATAAGAAGACGTTTTCCCCAGTTAATACTGAAATAATGTACAAATTGTGACTACAGTTAACATGATTATATTGTCATAGCTACGATAATGTGAAATTTAATATAATCATAATTACTTTATTATGTGTAAAAATTAATATCATCCTAATTAAAACTTACTCAAGCACAAATGTAATACGATAGTATATGTAATACGGAGTAACATTTATTATACTTTATCTCGGAAATGATGTCTCACATTTATTGGTATTACATTGTAGTAATGTCTTGAAATGAATAACAAAAATTAGTTTTTGTAAGTATTACTGAAATACGGAGTATATAATATAAACAAAATTGTGACTATATTAGTAGTAGACTAGTAGTAGTTATTATTATTATTATTATTATTATTATTATTATTATTATTATTATTATTATTATTAGTATTATATTATCATGGTCATTGACTCACTCTATTTTGAAATTTAATATAACCATGATCATTAAAAGTTACTCCTCCGGTTCTTTTTAAACTTCACACTTTCCTTTTTGGGACGGTCCAAAATAAACTTCACACTTCCTTATTTCCTTATTTGGTAAAGAAATCTACATCAAAACAGTGTTAAACAGTGTCAAACAGTGTTTCAACAGTGTCAAACAGTGCCTCGACAGTGCCAAACAGTGTCTCAACAGTGTACTCTACAGTAAAGTCAACTTTATTTCCTTAATAACTGTGAAGTCAAACACTGAAGTTTAAAAAGAACCGAAGGGAGTATTATTATGATGACCACTAGTCCACTACTTGCAAAAGATCATTTTAGTTCGATTGATATTTTCTTGTTTGTGTTTGGTTTGGCCCAGTAGATGTACGTTATATATGCATTTCACATCTACCTCAATCTCATCGAAAATCTAAAATGGTTTGATAGCTTGATTTAATTTGATAGGCTATGTTTGGTTCTAATAATAATGAATCTGTCCAACTAAAAAAAGATATGTCTTCTTTTGTTCAATTTAGTTACAAATACTCCGTATTAATTACTCTGTATTACTTTTAAAAATTAGTGCATCACTTGTAACTAATCGCACTAGTAAGTACAGAGTAGTAAGAAGGATGCATGTCTAACAAATTGGTGTCAAAATTGTTTGTACATAAATCTTTGGCACACGATGTATAATAGAATTCTATGGAGGATAAACTATGATGAGCACAAGATCTTTGTACAAACACAAAATTGAGTACAATATGTTCTCAACAAACTAATAAATACTAAAACTAAATGAAATTACGGATTTGCCTTGGTCAAACCAAAGCGCGGCTACAATCGGCTTTTCCAAAACCCACTCTGAACCGGGCCAAGTCAAACTCCACCCAGAGATTTTGCTGGTGGAAGTTTCCGATGAGATTGCTCGGCTCGTCGATTTTGCCGGAGTTCCCGATACCCAAACAACTCACATTCCGGCCGACGACGTCAAACGCTAAACGTTCGCCGGGGATAAATATCTCAACGCCGTCGTCGAATTCGAAAGTCATGTTGCCGAGCATCTTTCCGATCGCCGTCGCGCTCCCGTCGAAGCATATGTCCAAGACCCCTTGGTACAGGTAACCCCACTTGAATTTTGCGCCGGTGCGCCGGCGGACTTCTTCTTCAATAATCGTGTACGAGTCATTAACCAGGAACGTGTACTCTGTCCCGGAATCGATAATCGTCTGGCCATCACCATAGGGGTTTTGGACAAAGTCGGTCATCGGAATATCCAGCTTTTCCCCGCCGATTCTAATCCCTGTCATATTGACGACGTAGGCCAGAAGATTGAGGTCGGGCGGGCGGGTTCGGCCATCACGGAAACTCAAGAGGTTCGTGTAATTGAACGTGCCGGAATTCGGATTCGCGCCTAGGTAGAAAGCTCCGTCGGGATTTTGCGGGATGCCGTTGACCGTCTGCCGGACCGGCACGCAGTAGGAGAAGGTCTGGTACTGGGATTGGGAGATGAAGGAGAACTTCCCTAAGTTCATCCCCAAAATGCCCTCCTGGTGGGTTGCGCCTACGGCGCAACCCATCAAAAACGTTCCCGAACCTGATTGAAAAGCGGAATTGGCCAGAGTAATGTTCTCCTGGACCAAAGTGCCCTCCGATAGGGTCCCGTCGGCGTAGAAAGACGAGTATTTGCACGTTGTATTGTCCGGATCACAGAAGTTGTCAACGCCCTGAGTGAAAATGAGGGGTTTGCAGCTCTTCTTGCAAGGAAAGAAAGACAGAGTCTTCGATCTGGAAATGCTAAACGGCGCCGTATGATTAAGAACCGCCGGCGGCGGCGCCGCCTTAGAAGCAGTGGGCTTCGTGGAATCATTGAGGCACGGCATCCACATCAGTTGGCTGCCGGTGTCCAACACCATGCGCTGATGCTGTGGAGGCGACCCTATGGGAAGGGTAATGATCAGAGCCATCGTATACTTAACCGTGTAGTTATGCTGCGGCGGTGTCCTCAGCTTCTTCGGCGGACTCGTCCCTTTCCGACTGCGAAGACCAGCCGCCGAGCGTGACAGAGACGACCGGAACGGCGCCGTTTGGCCACTGGAAGAAGAGCCATGCGGCTTCAAACGAACCGCAGAGAGGGTGAAAGCAGCTGACGATGGCTGCCCGTCGCGGGCTGCGGTTCCAAATATGGAAAGGAAGGTTAGAGGCAGGAGCCAGAGAGGCGTGAAAGAAGCCATGTTTATTGGATCTGTGGGAGATTATTATTATTAGTAACTAATTGCCAGAGAAAGCATTCGGGATTATATTTTGAAAAACATGGAGAAATGCCCAGAACGGAACGTTGGGCGATGTTTGGTCGGACAGATTGATGTTGTGATTTGAGGCTCCCCGCTCCTGTATATATTTTTATAGGTGAAATTCACAAAAATAATCCCTACTTTTAGGGATTCTACAATAATAATCCCTAATGAGAGTGTCTACAAAAATAATCGAACTAACAATATTGTTCATAAGAATAAATTGGGTGAATTCAAATTAATGTCTGTTTAATACATTTAACACTTGCTCTCGCTTTCCTCTTCCCCGGGACGAAGAGTGTCGAATGAGAAAGTGGAAGTAGAGGTTGGAAATATTAAATGAGCATTAATTTGAATTAATTTTGATTTATTTTTATGGACATTATTTCTAGTAAGGATTATATTTATAGATACTCTAAGTATGAATTCTTATCGTAGAATCCATAAAAGTATGGATTATTGTTGTAAATTTCACCATTTTTATATACTACGTATATATACAGAGATATAGTAATAGAGAGACGACGGAAACAGAGTGAGGGGAGAGAGTAAAGTAGAACGGGGAAAAGACACATATTCGAAACAGGAGGCGCGGGTTTCTTGCACGCGGAAACTGAGCTTTGTAATGTCAGTACCAAAAAGTTTATATTTGGCGGAAATCACTAACCAAATTCTTCCCAATTACTCCCTATTAAATTTGGTTCTTCATAGTTACGAATAATTGAAAGAACGAATGACAATTATATTACTAAGGATTTTAAATTTTCAAAAGTAAGACATGAATTCCGCATGAACAAAAAAAGATATAGTTCTCTAAAAAAAAAAGATATACTCCGTACCACATTAGACCAGACACCAATTAAGGCGAGATAGGTCAAATCAGACTAGACTTACTTCGACAATTGTGAAGTACACAGAGGCCATACAACAACCAGACCAGAATTAGATTAGTCCAGACCATACCAAACCAGGTCAGACACTATAAGATTAGAATAGAACAAATCAGACACAAATATTTCAGTCTAAATAAAAACATCCTAAGAACACTTAAAAAACATATTACTACTACGTAGTAAGAAGAATGGATGTCTATGGGTTGACTCAGTCTTGATCCAATTCCAGATTCAGAGTTGGGAGGCCCAAAACCTAACCGATATTATGAGTCTCGTTCCAGTCCCAAATACATAGCAGATCTAGGATTTGATCTTGGTACGGTCCCGGGCATGTTCAGAAAATTCTCTTTGATATTATTATTTATTATATTATTAATATAAACAATAAAGTTGCACATTAAAAATGAAATGTGAATTTATTTTAAAAATGTGAATTTGTTGACTTATACATGTATAACTAAATGGCGGAACAGTGCTATGTTAACTTCTTGAGTTCAACGGCAGACCTATTCTTCGGAACTCTCAGTTCCAGCGTCGGTTACCGTTTCCTCCATAAATGGCGGAACAGTGCTATGTCAACTTCTTGAGTTCAATGGCAGACCTTTAACCAATCGTTGAAGCAGATGAGTGTCTCAAGAATTTGGGAGCTCAACCTCGTTCTAAAATCGGTCAGAGCGTCACCGGCTTCACTGAACTTTTATTCCACGACAACCATTGAAACTAGCATTGACGGGACTATAAAATCGAAAACTTTTCTTGTTTTTCCTTTCACCGTTTGCGAATGCCAACCTCTTCCCCTTCATTTTACTCACACAAAAATGTTAGATATAAAAAAGCTTGTTAATTGAGCTTTGCAATAGTAGTATTCTCAACATCCCTCAATTATCATTCAAATTACATTTGGCACGGGAATTAAGATAGTCAGTATTTTGTGATGGAGAGTTGTGCATAAGAGAGATAACTGTATTGATTGCATTGGTTTTGGAGTGCTTAAGTTTTTACTTTTACATAATTTTTATGGAGTGTCGTTGCGGTAATTGCACATTTACGGTGCAACCTTTTATTTTTCTAGTTCATCGTAATTTATTAGTTTTAGAAGATCTTGAGCTTAAATAAATTAGTCTACAACAAAGGAGCATGAGAGATATCTTACAAAATCAAATGAAAGTGCAAGGGAGCAAGAAATCATGCAAAAAATGTGATTTGGTCACTTACCCGGTCGGGTATTGTGAAACCGCTCCCAATTTAAACTTGGATTTATTAATCTATTAATATTAAAATCTAAGTGAAAGTGCAAATACAAATTTCGATGAGGATAATTAGTCAAAGTCATGAATGTATATTCACTTTGAAAACTAGTTACAAGTATATTAATCATACTAGAAATGATTGATTGATTAAATTAATACCGATTAATTAAATTGTGGGTCGGACCCCGAACATGGGGAGGGACTAACTAATATATATTCTTGGACCAAGATAAATTAAATAAAAAGCCCAAGGATAAGGAAGTAAGTACAATATAATTGTTTAGGCCGAATAAAAGGTAAAGAAATAAGACGAGAGACCATTTGAGTCCACTTACAAGAAATAGAAATGTAAAGGGGTTTGAGCCCGGGATATTGGAGAGGACTATCCAATACATTTTAGGACCGACCTATTATGGTCTATGACGTGCACTTTGTCGTGTGTGCACTCAAAATAATTCGATACTAACAACTATACGTAGTATAGCGTGTAGTAGAGTTCGTATCCACAGGGAAAGGAATAACTCTCTTTTTATGTAACTAGTAAATAAAGGTGGGATTATATTTTAAGATTAAAAGGGACTTGGTCTTGCTACTTTCCACTTGATATATTTTAGTCGATCATTGTTATATCTATAACTTATCCCCTCTCGAATACTCAATCGCGGAGTATCTCCAATTCATCGAGGGTAGTTATTAACAACGACCGTTCATTAATAACCCTTACTATTAATCAAATATAGAACAATGCCGTATACCGATATAATAGTAGCATTTAACCTCTTTAACTCCTTGATGAAATCAATTGAGATTGATAACCTCAACACAACGGTTTCGGTTTAACCAACAAAATTTATCCCTCTTAAGTTTATTAACCACGACCGTGCATTAATAAACCGAAGTTACTTACTTGTAAAACCATCAACGATTAACCATCGGTTCGTTGATCGTTTCTAGTAATAATTAATGTCAGAACGTTAACTAATCGTCACTTAGCAACCCTCCGACATTAATATAGAATGAGATTAAGGGAAGAAATAATAATCAAGAGGAGAAAGTAAGAAAATAACTCACAACTTTAATAATCAACAAGCTTCAAGAGTAAAACCAAGAAATGGAAGTTTAGCTCCTCATTTGGAGACTAAACATGCTATAAAAATATAAGAAATAACTATTCTAAACTGAGCTTAAGTATATGGAAGAAGGGATTTCTTTAATGTGAAGGAAAGGGGGTGTATTTATAGAAAAATATATGAAGGTGGCAGGGTTCTGTACTCGATCCAGTACATGGGATACTGGACCGAGTATGTGAGGAAATTTCCAGGAAATTGTGAAAAATAGGCATACTCGACCGAGTATTGCCAATACTCGACCGAGTATGAGACAGGATTTTCATCAAATATTCAGCCACGTTCTTTTTCTCCCAGATTTGATTTTGACCAGCGTATCAAGCCAATACTCGACCGAGTATTGGCAATACTCGACCGAGTATTGAACAAATTTCAAAATCTTCATTTGATCTTCTCCTTTTTGCACATTCTTTGGTCTTTAGGATCCATCCTTTGATTCTTGGAATGATTTTGACCTGTCCTAAGCTCAATATAATCCTAATCTAAATAAATTACAAATAATTAATGAAAATAAAGTATTACACCAAAAGTGTGTAATTTCCACAACTAGAACTAATAAAACTAGTTAAAAATACAAACATACATAATAGGAAATTCACCCTATCAGTCTACTAGCCTAAAATAATATAAATAAATGAATGAAAATCATTTAGCCCCAACCGAGATATATCAATTAACCAAAGTGACGTTCTAACCCAATTTACCGAAAATAGCAAGTATAAGGGTGAAAGGTTTCCTACACTTTAATTCGGGGTATTCCATATAAAATGTAACCCAAAATAAAGGAGAGGATTAGTTATGAATAACTTGGTCTAGATTGATTAAAAATAGCAGCCCATGTACACAACCCAACCCAACTTTCTAATTATAGAAAGGATAAGGGATGGTCTCATCCTCTCATTTTGAGAAGCATCATACAAAACCTAGAGAGGGAAGGGAGCTCACCTAAGGGACTTCAACAACCAGGGAGAAAGGGAGTCAAGAAGAGAAGGAAATCCGATAGAAAACGAAGCCTAACGGTAAGAATCTCATAGCTCCGATCCGGTTCTTGTTTTTCCTTTTTATATAGTTTTCATATATGATTTTATAGAAATCATATGATGGATTCTAGAGGATGTTCTACACGTTTAAAAGTGTAGAAATATGATATAAAGTGTTGGTAATTAATTTAGAAGAGTTGTTGAATCGATAGGAATCGAAATCGCCGGAAACCGCCACTTCTTGGTGCTGTTTTCATGCTGCAGGGTCCGAAAGCTGGGCAGCTTTTGCAAAAGACGGGCGGCTTTTGACCTCTGCTAGCCAAGCTTGTTTCGGATAATTCCCAATTGAAGGTTTAACGATGGGGCTTCAATAGGCAACCTTGATGGACATATTTAAGGTGAGGATGACTGACTATATTGTCTCTAACTCGTGAGTTGAGCATGAGATTACCTAAGTAATCAAATTATGATTTTGATGGAATTAAATGATATACTTCCATGTGAATAAATGTGTTGATATGTGGTCATATAAATTGATACATGATATTACAAAGGTGGATAAGCAAAGGTATTATGCATGAGGGAAGAAATCCTTGAAATATATTAATTATTGAATTGATATTGAGGATTAGAATGATATAGACAAATGTTGATAAATGTGTGATTCCATAAGATCTTAAAAGGGATATATGGATACCTATGTGGATAGGCAAAGTGATTAAATGTGAAGTAAGGAATACTTGAGTTATTGATATGATCAAAGTGATATGAATCCGTAGTGATTAATTGTGTATGCTATCTATAGTATTGAATAAGATAGGCATGAACTTAGAATG